TCTGCCTTCGGCTCAGGTCATGATCCCAGGGTTCTGGGATCAAGCCCCACATCCAGCTCCCTGCTCAGGAGAAAGCCTGCTTCTCCCTCTCCCACTCTCCTTGCTTGTGTTCTTTCTCTTGCTTTGTCTCTCTCTGTCAAATAAATAAATAAAATCTTAAAAAAAAAACAAAACACTATAATACAGTGCTGTTCTAAATTATGATATAGAATATACACCAAGATAGTCCAAGATAGTTGATTTGTTTCTTTTGTCTTTTTTTCTGCAGTATCCTCAGAGATTTATAACAGTGATTGCTACACTGGTAGTGGTCAACAAATATTTGTTGAAAATTGAATGAATTGAACAAGGGATTGGAAAGCAGGAAGAATGTAGTTTCAGTTGTAGAGTATATATGGAAATTTAAGGCTAAAAATTAGGTTCAGATCCAGAAAGGTTTTATGTAGAAAATATTATATAATCATATAAAGTTCAGGAAGCAGGAAATTAGGCTAGACCTTTTTGAAATAATTTTCTATATTTACTTCAATATTTATCAGCAATAGACTATCATATTTAAAAGTCAATTCATTTCTCTTTCCCTAGAGGTAATTATTATTCTTAAATTGGCTTAAATCATTCCTATTTAATGCTTTTATACTTGCACTATGCATTTATGTATTGACAACAATATCTAGTATTGATTAGTATGTTTGTAAAATATACATAAATAACCATTATGGTAAAAAAATGTACATTCTCTTCTTTTTTTTTTTTTAAGATTTTATTTATTTATTTGACAGAGAGATAGAGAGCACAAGTAGGCAGAGTGGCAGGCAGAGGGAGAGGGAGAAGCAGGCTCTCTGCTGAGCAGGGAGCCGGACATGGGGCTCGATCCCAGGACCCTGGGATCATGACCTGAGCCGAAGGCAGCCGCTTAACCGACTGAGCCACCCAGGCGCCCCTGTACATTCTCTTCTATAACTCATGATTTTTCCTTTAGCTTTGTGTGCTGTATATTTCCATTTTGATACAGTTAGCCCTGAGTGACTCTTTTTAATTGCTCTTATGGCACACAATTTTATGTTTATGTCATGTTTTACTTATGGATTTATCAATTCTATTGCTTGAAATTGAGGTAGTTTCCAAAGTTTGGCTAATATGAACAATGCACTAGTGAACATCCTTATCCATATCTTTGTGTGCACATATGTACTTTCCTAGCCTAGGATATATATGTAGAAATGTAATTGTTTGCTTACAAGTTTTGAGTACCTTCAACTTTACTAGATACTATCAAACTCTTCTCCTAAGTGCTTTACAATTTACAGTTCCCTCTGTAATAATTTCAAGTTCTCTTTTCCCAGCGATTTATCAACTTTGCTATTGTTGAATTAAGTGTGAAATGTCTTTTTGTATGGATTTCATTTGAGTTTCTCTGATTATAAAGGAAAGTGAGCAACTGATAGCATAAATATTGACCATTCTCATTTCCTTTTCTGTCAATTGACTATTGTTCATTGCTTATTGGAATATCTCCTAGGTATGACAGATCTCATTTACAAGTTTTTAGCTTATCTTTATATTTTAACTTTGTATATGGATTATTTTATTATACAAACATTATCAGGTTTATCAATCCTTATTATTATGTTGCTTTTATGGGTTTTTTAAAAAAATATTTTCTCCTTGAATATCATATTTTATTCTTTGAATTTAAATATTAATTTGGGGGAGAACTGACATCTACATGATACTGAGTCCTCCTATTCATATATTGGATATGGTATATCTCTCCATTTGTATGTGTCTTTCCATACAATTATATCATGCCATTACGATTATGCATATCTTTAAAAATATGTAGTGTTTTTATTGCCACTGCCATTTAAAAACCATTTTATTTGGTTATTATTTGTGTACCTCAACCGTAATGATTTTCATATATCAAGTATATATTTCATATATCCAGTAACCTTGCTAAATGCTCTTATTAATTCCAATAGCTTGTCAGCAAATTCCCCCTGAATTTTCTGTGGACACAATTCTGTTGTGTTCAAATAATTTATCCATTTCCAATGATTAAGTATCTTATCACTTCTTATTTTATTGCATTAGCTAGGAATTCCTGTGATATAGTCTGGAAGCAGTGATAGTAAACATCCTTATCTGGTTTCCACCTTTAATTGTAATATTTCTAAATTTTCACTTTTAAATGTGTCATTTGCTAGAGATTTTGGTAGATTTTCCTGTCAGATTAAGGAAGTTCTATTTTATTAATAGCTTGCTTAGCATGTTTTTCAAAGTAAATATTGGATTGTAGGCTCTTCTACATATTTTGAGAGCGCATAAGCTTTTTGTCTCCATTAATCTGTTGATGAGATGAATTACATTAATAGATTTTTCTATTATTGAACAACGCTTGCATTTGTTTGAAAAACTCTTCCTAGTCATGATTTTTTCTTATACATTGCTTGTTGCATTTGATATTTCATTTTGTATTTCAGCATCTATAGTCTAAAATCAGAACAGTATATAACTTCATTTTCTCAATCATTATGGGTATCAAGTTTCCAGAAATCTCTAAATATGCCAAGGAACTTTCTCTCTCTCTCTCCATCTCTCTCTCTCTCTCTCTCTCTCTCTCTCGTGTGTGTGTGTGTGTGTGTGTGTGTGTGTGTAGCTGGTTGATTCTGCAACTAATTTTAATTTCAGGCTATTTTATAAAATATCGGAAAGCCATATTCAATGTCCTTTTCCCTAGATTTGGATGCACATGCTTTCCTATCTGCAACATCTCTTTTTATTATTTTCTATCTTACAAAATCAGCATCATTGCGGTGCCCGGGTGGCTCTGTTGGTTGAGAGTCCGACTTGATTACAGCTCAGGTCATGATCTCAGGGTGGTGAGATCAAGCCGCGAGTCAAGCTCTGCACTGAGCCTGAAACCTGCTTAAGACTTTCTCTCCCTTTTCCTCTGTTCCCCCGCACCGGCCTCACATCTCTTGCTCGCTCGCTCCCTGTAAAAACTAAAATAAATAAATGAATAAACAAATAAATCATAAAATCAGCATCACTAAGGTGAACACAAAAAATTCAAAATTATGGGGCGCCTGGGTGGCTCAGTCGTTGGGTGACTGCCTTCGGCTCATGTCATGATCCCAGGGTCCAGGGATCAAGCCCCGCATCGAGCCCCGCATCGAGCCCCGCATCGAGCCCCGCATCGGGCTCCCTGCTCCGCGGGAAACCTGCTTCTCCCTCTCCCACTCCCCCTGCTTGTGTTCCCTCTCGCTATCTCTCTGTGTCAAATAAATAAATAAAAATCCTTAAAACAAAACAAAGCAAAACAAAACTTACAACCTTCCAAGTTTCTGTAATTTTTAGTGCTGCTTTTCTGAATCATTTTTTAAAGACCGTGGGCAAAATCTGCCTTTTTCCCTGGTAACCTTGGCATTTGACGGGTACGCTCTTCTCGGTTAACGTTCACAGCAGCGAGAACAGTGGAGGCAGGAGGTGGAAGCAGCTCCGCCTCAAGACACGGGAGTCACCGCAAGCCTGTAACAGCCTGAGGCCTCCCTCTTAGGCTGGCTCATTCTCGAGGACCTGTAACCGCTCATTTCAAATATGGAATGAAAAAAAAAGATACAATGCATAAATCCCACTAACTTTGACAGAGCAAACGAGACTTTTTGTGTGAGTGTGTGTTTTACATGGAGAATGAATAACAAGCTTATGAAATAGGTGCATTTACACCGATTGCATTTATGGTTTTCTACAACCCTCGTTCCCCTTTTCCCCTCTTCGGTCTTAATGTATTCTTTTGGGTTTCACTCAAGCCTTTCCTTTTCAGGGAAGCTGGACATCTTTGAGCCATTTTGCCTACTTTTTATTAAATGACAATGGATAATATTAATAAGTTGATGATATGAGTGACCAGTTATTGAACACTTGACTATATGCAAGGCTCTCTTCCAGAAATCTTACATATTTTATCTCATTTAATTCACACAATAACTCAGTGGATTAGGTACTACTCTTATTAATCTCATTTTATAGATATAAAAACTGAAGCACAAAAAGGTTCATCACTTGCCTACGATCACACAGGCGGAAGGGGCCAGAAGACTAACACAGGCTGTCTGATCTCAGAACCTAGACTCTTCACCATTACTCAGGGATATATGGTAACCAGGGAGACCGAGCTCTGCCAATAGACAGGCTGGCAAATATTTTAATTCCACTAAGAAATAGGATGCCTCAGGTAATTTAAAGTTCATATCTTTCCAAAACGTCTTTGAGAAGTATTTCCACAGGTGAGAATTTGAGGTCACTTGACAGTTCAGTGTAAAAGAGATACTGGGATGAACAGCAAATCTCAGCTTCACTTATTTTCTGTGGAAGCTTGACAAGTTTTATCACCACCCGGAGCTTAACTTTCCTAATGTATTAAATAGTGACAATAATACGTGAGTGTTGCTGTGAAGACTGAGATATCAGAGGATAATTCCCAGAATACGGTTAAGTACATCCTCAATTATTATTAGTTCATGTCCACCTTCTTCCGTCAACTGTAGTGCCAACTATGAATTTCCCTGGGGTAGGATGAGCCTGGGAAATGAGTTCAAGGGGAATGAAGGAAGTATTGATTAGCTGAGGAGGAACATTGCATTATTAATTTTTGTATCTCCCTCAATCAGTATCTTCAATGATCAGTGCATAACAAATGTTTGTTGTTAAATTGGTGAGTAAAAATGTCATAAAATTAAGTAGTCAGTGGATATTTTAAATATATAAAAATAAAGTCTTTCCACATATTTGACATGCATTTTAGAGGACTGAGGTAAACATAACATGCATGTTCCTGGGAAATTATTTACAATTAAGAACGATTGATGGGGGCCCCTTATTAATTTCCGACTTAAAGATACTCAGTTTTTACTGTGACACCATTTCTTGTTCTCTGACATGCTTAGGTTCGCATTTGTTTGATCATTCATTAAATTACCTGATTTATCTTCTAGACCAAAAACAGAGGATGCTTGGGTATTTGCAAAGCCTAATGCCATTCAGGCTCTTGGTGTGATGTCGTTTGGTGAGTATATGATTTCACAGGCCCTTTCTCAATATGGAGTCTTCGGTATAATGAAAAAGTTTCTTATTCGTGTCTGGAGAGCAAATGTCCCAAGTTTTAGGCTTCCTATTAGCACCATATGGTCTAGTTTGTGCCAACATAAAATTAGGCTCAAACTTTTCTCACTCATCACTAAAATTTGATTTAATTTGGACAAGTCTCTTTCTCATGCAGAAAACTCATTACAGTCATCTTATTTTTTAACTTGAAAATCTAGCAAGTGTTATGCGCTTATTCAAAACCTTGCACACAAAGTATTACAAATTGGCCAGATGTCTAAAGCTACTCTGTTATATACCAGATTGGAAAGGAAGCCATGGACTGAAAACATAGTGTTGTTTAGATTTCCCTTAAGATTGGAAGGCCACTAGGAAATGGAAAATGGGAGAGAAAGTTGAATAGGCCTGGTTTATATCAAGAGTGACATGAAGAGACCACATAAGCCTAACGTGAGTGAAATTTCTCATTCCTACAGTTGTTAAAAAAGTTATTTTTGGACATAGCTAGTGAATTAATGTATTTGAACTTCAGTAGCATTCCAAAGTCACATACATCTCTGAATTTTTAGAAGAAAAAAGAGAACCTTAGTGCTTGTGATAAAGGACAGTTGGAAGGCAGGCAGGCAGGGACAAGGGGCCCCTGCCCTAAGAGGAAACCACCCTTAAAAGGATTTTACACGGCCCTGGAAGGAGCCCTCCACCCTTTCCCATGTGCTGGATGACAAAAATCTGATTGGATGACAGGTGCAGGGAGGGTTAATCGATTAAAACAGCCCTCCAACAAGCCCACAAAAACCCCTATAGATTTAGAAACTCCAATGGCAACCCTCTCGGGTCCCCTCCGTCCTCGGGAGCTTTGTACTATCACTTTGCTATCGCTCAGTAAACTTGCTTCACTGCCTGCCACTCTGTCCGGTCTACCTCTTCGTTCTTCAAAGCCACCTGACCAAGAACTGTGGGCACCGAAGGAGAAGGAAATCCAGTAACATTTGCTTTAATGGTGCTCTTTTTTTTTTTCTTTTTTGTATTGCAGCATTTATTTGCCACCATAACTGCTTCTTAGTTTATGGTTCTTTGGAAGACCCCACAGTAGCTAACTGGTCCCGCATCATCCATGTGTCTGCCTTGGCTTCTGTACTTACCAGTACTCTCTTTGCTACATGTGGATACTTGACCTTTACTGGCTTCACCCAAGGTAAAATGAGAGATTCGGTTCTCATCATATTTTGTTATTCACATGGACTGGTTCTGTCGCTCCTCATTTTAGGCACAATTATACCCAGTATTCTACTTCAGAGTATCACTATCTCTTCTGTCCATTCTCTCCTCTCCCTTCCCACCTCTGCCATTTCTGTTTTCCTGATTTTCTCCCTTTTGAACTGCTAAACTTGTTTCTGTAGTTCCTTTCCTCTCTTCTTCCATGCTTTCACTTAAAAGCACTTGAAATCTGGCTTCCCTCTCCGCTGCAGCTTCACTTTCAGAAATACCAGCATCCTCCCACTCTTCAAAGTGAATCATCGTGGTTCTGATTCTCGTGCACCTCTGTGAATCACTTAACAGTTCCGAACATCCCGTCTTTCCTCCCGTAGGAGAAGGAGCACTACCACATCATCATTCACTCTTTCCCCCTGAGTGATTGCTCTTTGCTTTCTCTTACCTTCTCTCCCCTTCTACTCCCACCTTCCATTAACTGGCCCAGGCAAGTTGCCTTCTTTTCTCTCAACAAATTCCCTGGAGATTGTCATTGTTTTATAAACTCTAGTCCAGACCTTTCTTTTCATCTCCAGCCTCTGGCCTGCAGGACATTCCTACTTAGTTATCCCTTCTTGCCTTAAACACAAAACGTCATCTTTTGCACAGAACCAGCCCCACCTCTTCCCCCCTCCTCCTCCACCTCACCACCTGACACTGAATTTATTTCTCTTTTCCCTGTTCGCCCAGGCCCAACAGCTGAGTGGTTCTCTCTTCTTCCTTTGACCTGTGCACTCACTCCTCTGTGTAGTATTAATACCCTGGTAAATGCTGTGATTCAAACATGTCACAGCTTTTGCAGGTCTATTATCTCATTTGACCTTGAAACAACCCTATGAAGGTAAGTGGAATAACTAGTTTTACCCCCTGCTTAAAACACAAAGAGGTGAAGGAACCTGCCCAAGCTGGCTGGTGACAAAGTAGAAAACAAGTCTCCTGACTTCCAGTTCAATTTTCATTCCATTCTCTCTTGCTGTCTACCCCACTTTGGTCAAGGCCGACCCATTAAAAGCGTCTCTTATCCTCCAGCTCCTCTTCACTTAGTTTTCAGATGATACTAGGTACTCTTGGGTGTACTGTTTCAAATAGAGGTCACAGGTAACTATGATTATAGGCAGAGATTTCTCAAGAAATAAAGAAAAAAGTAAAAACGGCTTCAAAACAAAGTGTTTAACATAATTCCAATGCCATCAAAAATACAATCCATGTATGTGCCATTAGAGTGCGGCAATGAAGTGACCGTGAAAATCTTGATAAAAATTGTCTCAAAACATTGCCATGTATCACTGTTGCTACATCATTTGCCAAGGTGAATGGCCTGTAGGCTCCAGTCTGTACAAAACCTTGGTTTTTAAATGCCTTCCCTGTATGACATAAACCCTTTTTCTTAGTCACACCTTCCTAGTGTTGTTATCGGTGGTAATTGCTTAGATATAATTAAATCTTTACATAACAAAGCTGACGGGTTGGTTTTGGTTTGGGCTTTTTGTTGTTGTTTTTTTCTTTAACCTAGCTATAATTCCTGAAAATAGACTCAAGCTGGAATAAGCTGACATTGTTTCTTCAGGCCATTTCATCTTAGGCAAATCTGGTCTTTCCTGTGCAAACTGCTTGCTTCTTTTGTTTTCCCTTTTAGTAGATATATTTCAGCTTGTGAGGCAGTAAAGAAGTCGAGGTTGTTCTTGACATTCTCAGTCACTTTTTACTGAAGGTTAATGAACAGGGACCTTCTGTCCTCTTTTCTGAGTGGTAGAACATTTTCAGTCAAACTTGAAGCAGGTCTTTGCCACGACTGCTTGTGGTTTAATCCCTTTCTGCCTAAAAGGGACCCTAGGAGGTAATGTACATTTGTTCCAGTTGATAGGAGGAGGGGAGAAGAGTCATTAAAGTAAGTCTTGGCAGAGGTGGGTCATTTAGCTTTTTAATTAAAGAAAAAAGGACAGAAGTATAGTTTTGTTTTCTTTTTAAATAGTGTGGTAGTGTGTGACTTTGATCTTATTTTTCTATTCAGTCTAACTGGAAAATGTGACCCAAATTTTAAAATGTAAGCATGTTATATTAAGGAAATAAATAGGCCTGGGGCACCTGGGTGGCTCAGTTGTTAGGCGTCTGCCTTCGCCTCAGGTCATGGTCCCAGGGTCCTGGGATTGAGCCGTGCATCAGGCTCCCTGCTCAGTGGGGAAGACTGCTTCTCCCTCTCCCACTCCCCCTGCTTGTGTTCCCTCTCTCAATGTGTCTTTCTCTATCAAATAAATAAATAAAATCTTTAAAAAAAAAAAAAAAGGAAATAAATAGGCACAAATATTGTTTGTTTCAGTATTGGGAAACTTTTTACTGACATGACTTCTGAGCCCTCATTAGATCCCTCTATTTCTTCATAGATGTCTGAGAAAATGTAGTCTCTAAATAAGAATTGGTTCACGGTGTGCATGGTCCATTGTTTAGTTTGGAACTAATTAAATATAATGCTTTACCCCAGAAATAACCATATTTTCACAGTTTTGAATTAGTGTACTTGCACTCGGGTTCATCAGATACCATGAAAGGTGAATAGTTGCTGTGGCCCTCAGTCTGGGATTAAACCCTACAGCATGATACACAGGGAATTCAGCTCCCCAGATGTACTCGTCTGCTCTTCCTTTCAGGATTGCCCTTGATCTAAGAATAACATTTCAAAAGGAAATCTGTTTAAGACTTTTTTTTTTTAATAACAAAGTCACTTATTTACCAGAAACAAAGACCAGAAGCAAGTTTATAAAGCTAGTGCACAAGAATTTAGGGAGTTGGTTCAGGTGTCAGAAGACAATGGATGAAAGTATTTTTCAGAAGTTGATACAAATTTAAGGCAAATCTACTAAAAACAAACAATTAGAATAAGAGAAAAACTGTCACTGATGAATTCATCTTCAAGTGGAAAATGTACTAGTTTTAATATCAGTCATAATTATATAGTTATTGAAAACAAAAAACCTTGTATTTAGACTTGGCAGTCTATTCTATTAATTAAATGGAGTTTATGGAGCTCTACTTATACAATAAATATCCAATATCTGATTTGTTAGATATTTATCTCAAATATTCAGTTGAAATAAATCTATTTTATATTATTCTCCAGGAGACTTATTTGAAAACTATTGCAGAAATGATGATTTGGTAACATTCGGAAGGTTCTGTTATGGAGTCACTGTCATTTTAACGTACCCAATTGAATGTTTTGTGACTAGAGAGGTAAGCACAATTCCTTTCCAACATTTTACCTAGTCGATCCCTCTACTACATTTAATTTAGGAAGATTTGTAAATAATTTAAATCTGTAAATTCACAAGTGCATGGTAAGTCATATAATTTATAAGTCTCTTTTTCAACCAGTTTAAAGATAAATTTATATTCAAATGTTTACAAGTTACTTTTTCAAAAGTTGGATTTGAAGATCATGTTTGGTGGTTTAGTTTATATTAGCATAAGTATAAATATTTATACAACTGCATTCTAAAATGAATGCCAGCCTTTAATAGAGCCAAACTAAGTGGTTTTTTCTTAAAAGCATTCTTACAAAGAAATTAAGTACTAAGATTTAAAACGTGTTTTACAAAATCGTTCTTTTGCTAAGATGCTTTATAAGTCAATGTGTATTAAAGGCAACTTTGAACAGATTTTGATCAGTTTTGTTATTTTGAAAAAACTAAAATGTCTTATTATCTATGGAAAACCAAAATTCAATTTAAACCACTAGTTTACAGATATATTTTATTTATATATTTATACAAATATATATTTTTAAACCATGTAAAATAATAAAGATAGTATATTACATATATATGTATTTGTGATGTACTTGTACTATATGTATGGATTTGCAAAGGACGATTAAGTGAAAAAGAAATCATTCTTTTTCTGTAAAGCTGGATAGCTTGTCGGGAATCCCTCATACAGTCAGCGAAAAATCCACTGTACCAGTCAGCAGAAAAACATGATCCTGCTTCACAGTGGTTCTTTGAGCAATCACACTGAAAAGGGCTTAGTTTTAGGATCTATTCCTAGAGGCTGTTTACACAGTGCACCATGTGAATGGGTCTAATGTGTGAAGTGAACCGCCTACAGAGCTTTAAATACACTAACTAATCAGCAGGCTTCTAGAGGAAGACCAGTGCTTACCTTATGCCAGATCTGGGGGATAAGGAACTGCTCAGGAAAATGGAATAAGGAAATGTTCAGCACTATGTATATCCTTTACAATTAGCACTTGTCCTCACTTACAAATCTGTAACTCACAGACTAGTTCTCCACCTTGAATATAAGGGAGAAGTAGATTGAAATTTACTTTATGAAGATTTTTCAAATCTAAGAAACTTGAAAAATTTTTTGCTCTTGTTAGATGCAGGGATTGGTTTTATTTTAGCTTCTGCCCAGTACTTTGGGTTCAAATCTGATCTGTAGGTCAGCGGTAACAGATGCTACATTCTCATGTGGCTTCTGGTGAACTGCTTGTGGACAATCTGAGTCACTCCACCTGCACAGTTTATGTCTTTAGTTCTTGGAACTTGTTTCCTTTCTAGCTGCCATGACAGGAAGATAGAACTGACTCAAGAGTCTCTGCCATGATAGCAAATACTAGGCAGAGGAACCTCAAATATACTTCACTCATTCACTTCCTTTTTCTCTCCTTTCTACACACACACACACACACACACACACACACAGTTAGCATAAACACAGTCAAAGCCATTTCTACTCATAGATAAAGTAGCCAGCCACATAAAAGGGTGCCAAAAAGCCTGTGCATACCCCTAATGAATATCTCTCAGTAGCCTGCCACACGCAGTGATTTTCTACTATTATAATCATGTATTAGAGGCTTCTATAAGAATGAATTTTAAATATTTAAAAAACATCACTAATTGTAAACCATAAATAAGTAAAAGTTATTAATATTCCCAGTAATTATTAGTAGAGCTATGGCAGTATCCAGTCTGTGAGGAATGTTACTTATCTAGGAATGTTAGACAAGGAACAGCTTGGAGGGTTGGCTTCATTAAGGTCCCCCAGCATCTGACCTTCTACCATTTCCAACTCTTGTCTCAGGGCTCTCTTGCAGAGTCAGCCCTATTCAGATATTCTCTTTCTTGTCTTCCATAGGTATCTTTCCTGTTCTTCTTTCTTCTTTTGCTCCTTTCACACTGTTGCCTCAGTCTCTAATTCTGCTCTAAATCCTACCCATGTTTTAAGCCCTACCTCAAGCCAAGGTAGGACAAGGACATTTCAGGATTGCTGTAAAGCTGATTACTCAAGAAAGATGGATCTAGGTAACTAAAGCTCTTCTAGTTCTAAATTCCATTTGATCTTTTTTTATCCAGATCACTATTTGTTTTCTTAGATTGGTTGACTCTTTCCAATCTCCTCTCATTCAAAAATCTAAATACCATCCATAGATTCTGTTAGTGACGACCTTGTTGGACTCAAATACCTTATAAGGTAACTTCCTAAGATCTTTCTTACACTTGAGAAATATGTTTTTTCACCCATTATATACCATGTTTTGGGTCTGTAATATAATATACTACTGTCTAATAATTCAGCAAAGAATACTTGTTATTGAAACGTGTGTTTGTCTATGTGTAAGTACTTTGGAAAAGAGAGGACATTCGTATGGCTTAAGATTTGATTGATTGCCTTACTGGTAGTGTTTTATACAGTCCTAAGTGCTATAATATGACATACTTTCTTAATAAGTCCTGCATGCCTCTGAGAATCCGTCTCTAAATAATGTGTTTCTTTGGCAGGTAATTGCCAATGTGTTTTTTGGTGGGAATCTTTCATCGGTCCTCCACGTTATTGTAACAGTGGTTATCATTGCTGTAGCCATGTTTACATCATTGCTGATTGATTGCCTTGGAAAAGTTTTAGAACTCAATGTAAGTATATTTAAAGATTTACACCTCCATTTCTAAAAATCCCTTTAAAAAATAATGTTTACATTTAACGAAGGATGTATTTTCCCTAACAAAGGTATCAGTTTCTGAAATGAAATGAAAATGCGTTTGTTATGTAGTAATAAATCTTACAATGATGATTTTGTGTACTTTATAAGGCTATTTACTTTTAGAGCAGTGGTTCTCCCATGGGGGAGATTTTGCTCCTCCTCACCCAGGGAACATTTTTGTTGTCACAGGTGGATAGGTGGGTGCTACTGGCATCTATTGGGAAAGGCTGAGGATGCTGCTGACATCCCTACCATGCACAGGACAGCCCCCATCATAATTATCCAATCTAAAATGTCAGTGGTGCTGGGGTGCCTAGGTGGCTCAGTCGGTTAAGCGTCTGCCTTCGGCTCAGGTCATGATCCCAGGGTCCTGGGATCGAGCCTCACGTCTGGCTTCCTGCTCAGAGGAGAGCCTGCTTCTTCCTCTCCCTCTGCCTGCCACTCTGCCTACTTGTGTTCGCTCTCTGTCTCTCAAATAAATAAATAAAAATCTTTTAAAAAAATAAAAATAAAAACAAATAAATAAAATGTCTGTAGTGCTGAGGTTGAGACACCCTGGTTTGGAGCACTTTTTCATATTTTATTTTCTATAATACATAAACATTACTAAAAACAGCTACATATTAAGTGGATCTGGAAGTTGCTGCATAAAAATAGGTCTAGAGGAATTCATTAAATATGTGTGAATGAAGATAATTATATCCATACCCCACATTCACTTACCACAGCCCAAGTTCTTTTTCTTTAAAATATTTCATTTCCCTTTATAGACTTTCCCTCATAATCTCTACTGCTCTCTCCCAAATCTAAGTCCTTGTTATATCACATCTGAATTAATACTGGCTCTTTGTTTCAACTAGCACATATTTAAGTTCTGCTTCCAGTTTATCATGACAATACTTAAAAATCTCCACTTTCCTACCAGAGCAAGCATAAACTCTGTCCCCTCTATAATCTGACCCCATGCCTTCTATGGAAAGTTATTTACCATTTACTTTCCCAAATCCACCTTTAGCTCTAGTCAATCTTATTTGTGGCCTATGAGTAAGCCATAGTAATTCTTTCTTTTATCCTTTGGCTTATGTTTATTCTTTTACAATTATTATTATCCTTTCATTTCTGTCCAAATCTCACAAGGATTTAAGGTCTAGTGCAACTTCTAACTCATTTATTTGTTGATCAAGTATATATTATTACTATATAATTGAGATACAATGATGGGAGGAAATCAGAAAGGATCTATGCTTTCATGGAGCATACAATCTCACAAATAAACATGAAAAGTTCAGCTGCTATGTAAATCAAGAAGAAGAGAAAGGAAAGAGATGGATTCCCAAAAGACATTTATGAGAAAAGATCAATAGGATTTTGTGACAAAGGGGGATAGAGGGACACATCAAGAATGACTCCTTGGTTCTACTTTGTGGAGCTGGGACAATGATGCCATCTGGTGAGAAATGAATAGAAATGGATCTACCACTTCAGAGTCATTAATCTTACTCTTCTACAATCTTTATGGAATTTCTATTCAGAATCCCACCACTTAGCATTTATTAATTATGCACCACAGGGAGGGCAGACTTTTACAGATGGGATCCCAAGTCATTATTTACTCACTCCATTGAGAGTTGAGGGATAGGTGAAGGTATTATTGTCAGTGCCCAAGATACTATTCCCTCCAGATGCCATCTGGATTTGAAGTTCCAGACAAAATAGATTCCAGTCAGTAATACACTCTTGGGGATGTCCTCGTAGCAGGGTATGTGAAGAGTAGGGAGTAGGCTGTTTCCCAAAACCACAGGAGCCTGGGGAATCATCTATTCCACCAGCATTGGAAAGAAAGTTCATAGGAGAGATGCATAAATATCAAAGGTAACTTTCACCTACCTCTCCGTTTTGCATAGACCAAAGTCTCGAAGGTTCATACAAAATCATTTCACATTCCAACCTTGATCTATGTAAGTGGATGACTGCTACCTTAATGCACTAACTTGATTTACGTATTGTCATCATGTATCATATACTGTCTGGATTGTCCATAAGCTTGCCTTCCCTACCAGAGAGTAAGTTCTTTGAAGACAAGAATGATATTTAGCTGCCTCTTCCATCCTCCACAGTATATGGCATAGTGCTAAGAACACAGTGCTAAAATTACTGCATGAGCAATTGCCCCTTGGGACCACAGATCAGGAACTATTTCTACCAATGTTCCTGGACATAAAAGACATCCTTTAGTGTAGCACTGGGATAGTAAGTGTTACCAAAAATTGATGGCATTGACAATGATAGTAATCTTTCATCTGTGCTGAGGTATGATCAACCTCAGATTCCCAGATCTGTTATTTCTTACTTTGTTAAATGTCTCATTTGAGTTCATATTTGGTTGTTTTTTTTTTTAATATTGTAGAATTTTGATATGAAAAAATGTTTATCAACTGCCTGATAGCTCACCACATGTTGATAGCCTAACAATTTTTTATTCCCTTTAAATTAAACAAGCATATACATATTGCTTATATTTTAGTAATGATATATTTTTGTAAACATTACCCTAACTTTCTGTTAATTGCTTATCTCTCTGACACTTGCACAACAAAATTGTAAGCACTTGATTACATTAAATATTCCCTATTGTACTTATGTTGAAAGTTTTTTGTGGTTAAGACAGAATTCTGGGGGTGCCTGGGTGGCTCAGTTGTTAAGCATCTGCCTTTGGCTCAGGTCATGATCCCAGGGTCCTGGGATCAAGTCCCCCATCAGGCTCTCCGCTCAGCAGAAAGCATGCTTCTCCCTCTCCCACTCCCCCTGCTTGTGTTCCCTCTCTCGCTGTGTCTCTCTCTGTCAAATAAATAAATAAAAATCTTTAAAAAATAAAAAAAAATTTAAAAAGACAGAATTCTGGTATTATAGAATAATAAGGGGGAGAATATTGGGTGAATGTCTATTATAAAGCCAAGATCTCAGCTGGTTGTGGAAGACTATTTTAAAAAATTTAAAACATGATTCTAGATCCTTAGGCTTTTTTAAAAAAAACCTGGTTACATAGATATTCATAAAAAGACAATTAAATAAGATTTATTTTAAGTTGTCTGTTACGATCTAATAACCCAAGACAATTACACTAGGTTTAAAGAAATGAGCCCATAACTATTTGGTCAATTAATTGTTGGCAAAGCAGGAAAAAATATCCAACGGGAAAAGACAGTCTCTTCAACAAATGGTGTTGGGAAAAGTGGATAGCAACATGCAAAAGAATAAAACTGGGCCATTGCCTTACATCAAATACAAAAATAATTTCAAAATGGATTAAAGACCTAAATGTGAGACTTGAAACTAAAAATCCTACAGGAGAACACAGGCAGTAGTAAACCATTTGACATCAGCCATAGCAACTTCTTGCTACATATGTCTCCTGAGGCAAGGGAAACAAAAGTAAAAATAACCTATTGGGACTACATCAAAATAAAAAGCTTCTGCACAGAGAAGGAAACAATCCACAACACTAAAAGGCAACCTATGGAATGGGAGAAGATATTTGCAAATGACCTCTGATAAAGGGTCAGTATCCAAAATATATAAAGACCTTATAAAACTCAACACCCCAAAAATGAATAATCCAATTTAAAAATGGGCAGAAGACATACAGAGAGCCAACAGAGATATGAAAAGATGCTCAACATCACTCATCATCAGGGAAATACAAATCAAAACTTCAATGAGATGTCATCTCACACCTGCCAGAATGGCTAAAATTAACAACACAAGAAAAAATAGATGTTGGCAAGAATATGGAGAAAGGGGAATCCTCTTGCACTGTTGGTGGGAATGCAAACTGGTGCAGTCATTCTGGAGAACAGTATGGAGGTTCCTCAAAAAGTTAAAAATAGGGGCGCCTGGGTGGCTCAGTTGGTTAGGCGACTGCCTTCGGCTCAGGTCATGATCCTGGAGTCCCGGGATCGAGTCCCGCATCGGGCTCCCTGCTCGGCGGGGTGTCTGCTTCTCCCTTGGACCCTCCCCCATCTCATGCTCTCTCTCTCTATCTCATTCTCTCTCTCAAATAAATAAATAAAATCTTTAAAAAAAAATTAAAAAAAAAAAAAGTTAAAAATAGAACAACCCTAAGACCCAGCAATTGCACTACTAGGTATTTACCCAAAGAATACAAAAACACTAATTCAAAGGGATACAGGCACCCTAATGTCTATTGCAGCATTATCTATAATAACTAAATTATGGAAACAGCCCAAATGTCCATCGAGTGGTGAATGGATAAAGAAGATGTGGCGTACATACACAATGGAATATTACTCAGACATAAAGAAGAATGAAATCTTGCCATTTGTAACAACATGGATGGAGCTAGAGAGTATTACCCTAAGTGAAGTAAGTCAGAGAAAGAAAAATACAATATGATTTCACTCATTTGTAGAATTTAGGAAACACACAAGCAAAGGGAGAAAAAGAGAGAGGGAGGCAAACCAAGAAACAGACTCTCAACTATAGAGAACTGATGATTACCAGAGGGGAGGTAGGTGGGGGATGGGTTATACAGGTGATGGGGATTAAGGAGCGCACTTGTGATAAGCAACAGGTGTTGCATGGAAATGCCGAAACACTAAGGGCATTTTATGAGAATGTAATAAAATATAGGATCTCCATTCTTTTACAGATCACCTGAGCATATGTTTTTCCAATCAACAAAAATCTTTTGGCATGCACAACATATTCATATCTTTACTCATCTCCCTTCTTGTGGACATTTGTCATGTTTAATAGAGCCAGATGAGGCATCATTTCTCTCAGTAACTAACGTAGTCTGGATCATGCAACACTTTAGAAGTACCTAAAGCATGCTGTGTTCCACTTCAGAATGACAGTGTGAGCTAACATGTATCGATTACTCTGTGCCAAGTGTTTTGCATGAGTTATCTTCCTTAATCTGTATTAGTTTTATAGATGAAGAAACTGAGGCACAGAGTGATTAAATAGTTCACACTAGCTGTAAGTGGCAGAATCAAGATTTGAACACAGGCTTTCAGCCCCTATAGCCCACATTTTTTATTATTATGCTAGCCTAAGGTTTCCAAAAAAAAGGCTTTAAATTATATAAAATAAGCAGATTCATTTCTCTATCCAAATTTTAGGTTAAAAGCCTCTACATTAAATTTACCTATAAGTGAGGTTAAGAGTAATCCATAATATATATGGCTAGACTTTAATGAGTTAAAATCAATACCAGGAGATGAAATAACATGGAACTGAAAGTTTTTCATCTAAATTAATTTTTAACTAATAGCTTTTATCTCAGTTAACAATGTACTCTAAGAATTCTTTTCTACTGTGGTGTCTGAATCATCGCTAAGTAGAATAATGATCTTCACTAATGAGATGTGTAATAGAATCAGACCTTCAATTTGTGAAGTTAGGGAAATGCTGTTACTTACTATAACTAGAATAATATAGGATAAATTATTTGGAGTTTTATTAGTACCTAATAAAAAGCAAAACCCCATTTAGAGCTTAGCTTCCTTTTTATTTCATTGTTTTCATAGCAGTAGACAACAATGACATATTTTCCAAAGGAAATACACCCTCCATTTTAAAGGATTCATTTTAGAAGCAAATAAAATAAATAGAAGTCCCATTCGTGGTATAAGAATCCAGGATCTGGGCACTGATGTTGCTAATAGAAAAAAAAAAGGCATCTACAGTAATTGGGCCCTATGCGTTTTTTACTCACAGTACAAAGAGAAAAGATGAAGCAGCTGGGGCCTGTGGCCAGAGTAACCAGCCCAAAAAGCATCCTGCACAGCTTAAAGTAGAAAGATGCAAGCAAGCCAATTACCCAGCACCAGCCCACATAGAGAGATACATCATCAGGGTGAGCAAGGCATAGTCCAAGCTGCCAAAGACCTCCTGAGTTAGAGTTTCTCTTTAAGGTACAGGAATACATTTCATGAATCCAAACTGATTACAAAGTAGAAACTTAGAAGAGGTATAAGCATTCTTTTGTTTAGTTTTCAGCTTCCTTGTATCCTTTGAGAAGTTTTCTATTCTGGTAGGAGAATTCAGTTAAGTTCCCAATTTGTACTGCCAGTAAAAATCTTCAACACCTTCTGTTATTTCCTTACAGCAAATTGCAGAATGCCCTGGCATCAACAGTATTATTATCAAAGGACAGTGCAGCCCTGCCTTTAAAATAAGGCTATATTTTATTATCCCTTTAATGAAAGGATATTTACATCCTGTCAAGCAATTCCAAAAATTATTCCAAAGCCAGTGGTGTATTCTCACACAAGGCTATATTTAGTAGATCAAATAAGCAGGACAAATTTACAGGAAAAAGAGCAGATGGAACTGCTATATATCATTCTACTGATGATCTTGGGTCCTAACAACAACCTCTAGCAAGACTGCGCTTTCAAATATTAAGAAAGTAACTGCTATCTAGACAAGATACTCAACTGGACTTCTTCCAGTACAAACATCAGCTATATAGTTTTCCCACTAATTGCTACTTTCTCAACTCTTAAGAATTATAGCATAAACAGAACACCCATTGCTTTGGACTGCCCAGCAAGTTAGGTTTGGAAGTGTCCCAAAATGCTGACTGATGACAGCTTCTTAGCAGCAGCTGGTGGCGGTTTTCATCCTGATAGCACTTTCAACACTCTGAAGTTCCAGATGAATTAGCTTCACATGTTTGTTCCTGTAAAGAGAAGAGACTCTATACATATACACACCCCCACACCCACATACATATATTTATATCTTAATTATTTTTTCATTGTTTTCACAATTTTTTCAAAGAAATCAAAGGATAATAATTATTATAAACACAGATGGAGTTCTACAGTATTTTTCTTAAAAGAACATTGTTAGTTTCAAGTGCTTCGAGACAAAGGAGTCCATAATTCATTCAATTCTTGCCATGTGAAAACTAATTCTTTATATCTGTGTACCTTTGTAGGTATTCATTTGTATGCAGATACCATGAATGGGAAAATTACATTTTCCGTATATTTTAAATGAGAATACACTTTAGCACCTCTTTTCTCACTCGTATCTTTGGCTATAGACATATTTTCCATAAAGTGTGGTCCTTCTTATTCTTCTCCAAATTTTTAGATAGTGCCTCAATAGTCATTTCATAACATATTCCAACCAACTGCCATTTCTCTGGACTTCTATTTTTATAAAAGCTAAAAAAGCTATATTTTTGGAATCATAGTTGTAATATTCCTGGTCTGAGGATGGCACTGAGTATAACAGTAATTTTAGTAAATGATGATATTGAGAAAATATTTCTTTTAAAACTATTTTAAGTTATAATCTGTTTTTTACATCATCCAGCTTCAAAATCAGGTTTCTGTGATTTTGCCCTGGGGAAATCTACCAAATAATGTGTCAAAAAGCATTTAAACCTTAGGTGATAGGTGTATAGAGTTTCATTATACTATTCTTTCTACTTTTTGTATATTTACATATTTCCATAATAACTTTTTGAAATATAGCAAAACATGTATTTTATGGAAAGCTTGCTTTTAGTTTTAAACCAATATCCCATTTGTTATTGTCCGTTTTTAAAAACTTATGTTTTATGGCTTAAGAGAATGTCATTTGTTATACAATTATATTTAATATATTTTAATAGTATGTTATATTTTTTAATATATAATTAACATTTAATATAATTTTAAAACTATATTGCCTAAAATGCATTACATTTTAACATTATATCATTTGCAGTGTCTAGTGCAAATTTAGCTTCCTCAAAGGGAAAGTGTCTTTTCTTTGAAGTCAATAACTCTTGGTATTTTTTTTATTTTGTTAGGATTTATTTATTTGAGAGAGAGAAAGAGAGCACACACACAACGTGGCATTGAGTGGGAGGAGGGGCAGAGAGAGAGAGAAAGAGAATCTCAAGCAGACTCCCTGCTGAGTGCAGAGACTGACATGTGGCTCCATCTCACGACCGTGAGATCACAACCTGAGCCAAAATCAAGAGTGGAGGCTTAACTGACTGAGCCACCAGGTGCCCCTCTTGGTATTTTTATAATAGACAACACTATTCCCCATAATTTTCAATCTGACATGCCCCCTCAGGTTGGACTTATCCATAAGCGAACGTAGGTGAAGGTGAATGAGTCATAGTCATATAGTTATGCTGTCAATTTTCTAGGGTACTTAACATGTTTAGTTTTACTTGAAAGAGGATTATGAAATGCTATTTCATATTAAGTGCCCTCGGGGTGATAGTTTTCATTTCTCATACAGAGGGGCACCTACTTTCACACCAACTCAAGAAAGAGGAAAGATAATATCCCCTACACACTTCCCGGAAGTCAGTCCCCTCTTGTGCATATATGACAAATAGACTGCTCCCATTTGAACAGCATAATAGTTACTCAGCAATTTGAAATAAGAATGTAAGAAAATGTGATGTGCTGAAAATATGGGACATTTCAAGAGTTTGCCAGAAGTTGGTCTTACCTTCTGCTTTATTTTCTAAATTATTATTTTCTGATCATTTTTTTCTTAAGTCTGATACACTATTTTATTCGAATTATTTGTAAATATATCATCAGAAAGGGGACATGTGGACATGTCTTAGGACACTATTCCTAAGTCTTTATTGGGTTATTCTTCTTTCCCTTGGTTGATTCAACTAAACCTATTTAACTTTTAACATGTACAAAGACAAATACATTTTGTAAATCTATTTCAAAAACTGTCCAGGGGCACCTGGGTGGCTCAGTCGTTAGGCATCTGCTTTTGGCTCAGGTCATGATCCCAGGGTCCTGGAATCGAGCCCCGCATCGGGCTCTCTGTTCAGCGGGGAGCCTGCTTCTCCCTCTCCCGCTCCCCCTGCTTGTGTTCCCTCTCTCGACTGTGTCTCTCTCTGTCAGATAAATAAAATCTTAAAAAAAAATGTCCAAAGAATGCTCCATTTGGTAACATATTGTTATTTCTTGTTTTCAATATGCAGGGTGTGCTCTGTGCCGCTCCACTAATTTTTATCATTCCATCAGCATGCTATCTGAAACTGTCTGAAGAACCAAGGACACACTCAGATAAGATTATGTCCTGTATCATGCTTCCTGTCGGTGTCATGGTGATGGTTGCTGGACTAGTCATGGCCATCGCAAATCCTCAAGACTGCACCCATGGGCGGGAAATGTTCTACTGCTTTGCTGACAATCTCTCCCTCACAAACATCTCAGTTTCTCATCTTCAACTGACAACACAACTTTCAGTTTTAAACAGCAGTACCTTTCAATGAGTTGACTGCTTTCAAAAGTATATATGTTTTGAGAGACTTGTAAACGGCATCACATTCACACAGGTTTTAGTCTGTATATTATAAAATTATTATTTTGGCATTTATCAAGACTTAGTTTCCTTTACTCATTAGTCCAATATAAAAGATAAAGAGGAAAAGAAAATTGAATGTATTTTTTTGTTTTATTGCTTTATTTTAAACAAAATTAATATTTTGTTTTAATGACTGCGCTGCCTTAATCTCAGCTGCAGGAGGAAAAGTGAAGCCCTTGGCCCTTGCTGCCACCCTCTCAAAGCATTATTCTTTTATTCAGTAGGTGAGCCAACATACTGCACTCCAAAATAAGTAGGTGATTGTGGGTTGGAATTTTGTGTGTATGTATCCTGTATGAGAAAAATTTTTTTGTGTCTTTTAAAGTTTATGAATCGAAGAGAAGGGAAACTGAAAACTATTAAAAGGAATAGATATCCCAAGAGAAAAATGAAAGTCTCCATTACAATTTCAGCAGATCCCTTGTTTAGAGGGGAGTGAATCTCTGGAGAAGTGAGTAAAGTTCTTCCCATGTTAAGAAGCATGAATAATAGACTGTACAGAGCAAGATGTATGAAAAATCAAAATTACCTCTCAAGTTCTGATCCTGTGGGAATACAATGGTAGTGCCAATAAATAAATTATAAAGCAGTGGGGGGAACCACAAGTTGTTCTCAGGCACAAGCCCAAGAGATGGGTTATGTGTCAGCTTTGGACCTGTTGAATTTCAAGTACTGATGGGAGTACACAACCGGAAGCTGAACTTTGAGACTAGAAGCTTGTAAGAAAAATCAGGGCCCCAGAAGAAGGATTCTCACTCCTCTGGGATCCTCAGAGAAATTCTCAAGAGTGCTTGTTGGCTGGATTTTCCAGAAGCAGACGCTGAGTTGGAGTTTGGCATGAGGGGTATTTATTAAGGATCATCACTAATGGAAGAGAGGCAGAAAGCAGGATCGAGAGGGCAAGATGGAACTGCAAGGCAAGGCAGGCCAACAAAGCCTCAGCCAAGTCCACGGGAGACTGGAACATATGTGGCCCATCATAGTTGTCCCTGTTTGGGTGAAATAGCCAAGTTTTAATACCACTGCCTCCATCTGTCCTTCAATGTGGGTACCTGTGGAGGCTGAACCCTTGGCAGCTCTTTGCAGCTGAACAAACCCTAAAGGAACTGAGAACTGGATGCTGTCTTCTAGTGGCTGGGGCACCACATGCTTCCTTGTAGGGGAACTGGTAGGCACAGCTGTGTCCACCACAGTGGCATTCCGTTTTTTAATGAGGATTTTTTAAATATCTTTCATGAGGATTTCACATCTGATGCTCTTTTTAAAATAACAAGAAAATCTGGGACCATCTGGACAGCTACCCTACATCAAATCACCCCCAATTTTCTCAACTTTTCATTTGTATTTCAAGTTGACAATCGAGAGCACTGTATTAATTGTTGCCAAATAGAAAATATCGCAAGCAGAGTTAATACACACATGATGTGTTTGTACAAATCACGGCAAAAGAAAAAAAAAACCCACGGGAAGTGTATAAAGGCTAGTTTCACCGTGGTTTGAATAAAGAAGTGGTGAGAGCTGAGTCATCACGTGACTCAGTAAGAAAGGCCTGTTGACAGCACAGAAAGCTGCACCTTAGGCAGAACCATGCTAGGGCTCGGGGTGTGATGTTTTTGCTTCAATAAAACATGATCCGTGCACCTCAGTTAGTTTAAATTCTATTGGCTGTATAACTTTTCTGTATTTAATTTGTAGATTTGTTTCTTTATAGTTGTTATAAGAATCATAAGGTTAAGTGGTTTGTGCCTATTTTTAGACTGATACATGTTTTGGTAAAATAGTAATAAAAATACTTTCACTCCATATTGAGGGAATGTAAGAAATTTTTGCAGCAGTCTATCCCTACATTACTCAAGACTGAGAAACACTGACCTACATAGTTATTAGATAAAATCACAAGAGATGAGAGTTCCAAGAATGTACAAAGAGAAGCACATCAAGGATAATGTAATTTAGCACTTAACCATCTATTATCTTGTAGTTTGGGTATTGCTTCAGATACCAAAAGTTAAATTAACCTTGAATGTTTGAGTAGGTTAAAAAACAAAAGAAAAAAACTCCTGGTAGGAACCGAGTATCACATTAACGCCTAATAAATATTAGTTCTGTTTTTTTTTTATTCCTAATCCACTGTAGAATAAAACTGCCTTACATGAATTACCAACATCTTTCAAATTATGATAGAATAAATTTTAGAAACTCACATCTATTTTGCAAGAATACTTGTCTGTCTCTTTATTTCGCCACCACGCAAAACTTCGAGAACTAGCCCCCATCTATTTTCCGCCTCAATTTAATAAGAGATTTCTACTGAAACTCATTCCTTCCCTGCCACTTCTTGCCCTTAACAAAGCAACTTGAGGATTTAAAACCAATTTCTGAGGCTGGGTGATAGACATTGGGGAGGGTATGGGCTATGGTGAAGGCTGTGAATTGTGTAAGACTGTTGAATCACAGAGCTGTACCTCAGAAACAAATAATACATTATATGTTAAAAAAAAAAGAAGAAGATAATAAGAAGGGAAAAATGAAGGGGCAGAAATCGGAGGGGGAGACGAACCATGAGAGACTATGGACTCTGAGAAACAAACTGAGGGTTCTAGAAGGGAGGGGGGTGAGGGGATGGGTTAGCCTGGTGATGGGTATTAAAGAGGGCACGTTCTGCATGGAGCACTGGGTGTTACACACAAACAATGAATCATGGAACACTACATCAAAAACTAATGATGTAAGGTATGGTGATTAACATAACATAATAAAATAAATAAGACCAATTTCGGAAGTTGTCACTACATTTGGAATTATAAAGTGCTTCTTAAATTAAAAAGAAAGGAAGGGCATAGTATCTTTATGCACTAATGTAAACATCTAACAATACATTTCCATCAAAGGTACGGACTGGATGATACCCATGTAACTTGTGAATTGGATCCTTGTCCATGTAACAATTTATGATAGGATCTTTTATCTCAACCCTAACTTGAACCATCTTCAAATATCAGGGAAGGTAGACCTCTTGCCTCTGCCTGTTTCCAATGGTGTCAAGCAGTAATGGTTGCCTCTTGTCTTTCCTATACGAACCCTGAAATCCAGGTTATCCAACTAAGAAAATCCCCACTAGTCCTCTGCTGAAGACATATTGCACACATCAATTTAATTAAAGATTAACTTATTGGACAGGAGTAGGCCTCTTTCTGGTTTATCTTCTGCCATCTTCTCAGGAAAGCAATATTAGTCTGTGTGTTTTGTTTGTTTGTTTGTGTTGTTGTTGTTTTTATGAGAGCTGGCCACTGAGAGGACCTGGTGTTGCAAGGTATTCCAAAAGTGGCTCAAGCATGGGCCAGCCAGCGACCATGAGGTAGGGTACTCATAAATACTTCACTAACTGTGGTGGGGGTAATAATTAGCTACACCAGTCAGATAAGCTCCTTTAAGAATGTATAATAATTCTGAAAAGTGTATAAAGAATTTACCCCGATAACAGAGCAAACATGCAGAATGGACGAGAAATACCTTGAGCTAGGGACCAGCTAGACTGGGAGAGAGACGAAAGAGCACATTCTCTGGAGCAGTGGTTCTCAAACTTCAACATGTGTCTGAATCCCTAGAAGGACTAGTTAAAACACAGAATCCTGGGCCCACTCTACAGAGTTTCTGGTTCAGTACTCTGGGGTGAGGCCTGAGAATTTGCATTTCTGGAAAGTTCCCGGGTGGCGAGACTGCTGTTGGTTCAAAGATCACATTTGAATAAGGTTGGAGGTTGGACATAAGAGAGTTGCCAGATGGTGGTATCTGTTTAGAGGCAGGGCAAAATAAAAGCAAGATGTAGAAATGCCATGCTGGAGCTCAGGGAGGAGACCGAGATGCAGAAGGAGAGCTATTGGCACATATTAAATGTCCTTATGCTTTGTCTCTTTGAAAAATCATTTGGAGAAGCTTACAGAGGGAAGAGAAGAAACCAAGACCGTAAGATTAGTGAAGAGCAATGACAAGGGAGGGGAGGAGAGTTAACAAAAAGAAACGGAGATGACAGCCTAAAGTCAACACAGCTGCAGTGCTGTAAGCCTGGTTTCCAGCCTACAGGCATTCAGGGAAGATTGCCTGAGCTTCATAGGAAGAAAAATGGGAAGGAAATATTCCAGTTCCTCAAAAGTACACCAAGTTTTCCTCGGACTGAACTCTCAATGGAAAGTCTTACTTGGAAAATTACATAGGGAACATGAGTATCACTGGGCTGGATTCATAATAACATCATGCAGATAAAGAATTCCTGTAGCAGTCTTGGATAGGACACTTTAATAATCATTCCACTAATGTTTGCTCAACCACAATGAATATTATCAATAAATTTAGCTTTGGGGTTTTTATTATATTATTCATTTATAATAATATGCTAAGTGCTCTTTTAAAACACGTGTGACACACACACACACACCACACGGATTTAGTCTGACATTTCTACCTTCCACCTAATTCTGGTCCTTACCAACTCACACCTAGACTAATGTCACAACCTCTTACCTAAGTACTCTGCCTCTAGTCTGTTCTTCCTTCAAGGGATTTGTTTGTGCATCACTCTGAGAATCATCTTATTAAACTGACATTATTAACATGATGCTTGGTAACACCACTTGCTTGTTCAAAAGCTTTCCAATGAACTCTTATGCTTATAAAATAAAGTACAAACTCCAAACTCCAGTCTGTATTCAAAACTTTCATAATAAGGCCTCAACATGGCATTCTGGCCTTATCTCCCGTGACTCCAGGAATGGAGTCTCTAACATAACGAAAGCATTCCTTTACACTGACACTGCTCTGTGCCGCTTTTGCCTTTGCCCCTAAATTCTTGGCATTCTCTCATTTGAATATCCAACCCCTTTCTCCCATCAAAATTCTATCAGTTCTTCGATGTTCTCCCTGTGCCCTACCTGACAACTCAAGCTGCAAGTCAGTTCTTCCTCCTTTGGGAATTCTGTAATTCTTATATTATATGAGGAAATCCTGTCTGTCTAACCAGACTGAAAGTTCCTTGAGGACCAACAGTGTGCTTTAAAGCTTCTTTTTATTCAAATCTCATGGCAAGGAGCCTTGTAGTAAACACGTATTTGAAGGGAGATTAATGGTGTAAAAGGGAAAATGGTTAATTGTACTAGTACCATATACATTATTTTATTGGATTTTTTTCAGCTATAATGATTGTCATTATAAAGTATAATAGCATTTTAATGTGATGTAGTCAATCATCCAACACGCTGGTTTAGATAATTAAGTTGGGTCTCTTATTTTGCTTTATTATGCATTGAACCTTCAGAGAAATTATTTGGGATATTCTTAAAAGGACTCTTTGAGTAAATACCAATCAGGACATATCTTTTCATTTCTTTTGACTGCTAAATAAACATTTGCTTGTCTCTTTCTTAATTATAAGCTCCTTGAGACCTAAGACCATATCATGTTTAGTTTTCTTTTTTGCCAGTGTATGCTCATATCTTATTCATAATGTTTGATAAACATTGAATGACTTGACTTTATCTAATTTATATATATTTAACTCAAATTTATAACCCACCAAGAAAACTCACATTAACCCCTTTATTTAAGATTATTCCTTAAAAAATGAAGCACCAAAACTTTAAACCAAATGTGTTTATGATTTAGGTACAATTATCACCTTGCCTAATCTCAGCACACAGCTCAATAATTTCATAGAGCACTTTGATTTAGGAACATACAGGCAAAATTTAAGAACAACACTTCAGGCAACATATCAGTTTGCAGTTTTAAGTTTGAAAGGCTTTGGAAATGTTTATATCCAAGATACAGTGGCAGCTATGTATTTATCATTTTTTAAATTTCATTCTGCCAGAGGACAAGGCCAGTTCCTGAAAAACAAATCCAGCCCAGGCTTCTTAGAGTCAGGTCCCATTGCAAAACATTGTTCTTTAATCTTTATGATCTGAGAGAGAAAATAGTAAAGCATCCACAAAAAAAGTCACCGTTTGGGTGACTTCTGACTTTTCTTGCACAAGTTTGCATTCTTGTCAAGTCTTAAAAAGAATTTTCTACATTACAACTTTTAACTATTGTTCCTCCATGTACAAAACATAGATAAGCTGGAAGTTGAGTGAAATGATCTTGGGTT